CAAAGCTAGTCTTATGCGATGCCAAGCTAGTCTTATGTGATACCAAGCTAGTCTTATGTGATACCAAGCTAGTCTCATGTGATGCCAAGCTAGTCTTATGTGATGCCAACCAAGTCATATGTGATAGTTTGCTGGGAAGTCTTGCCCCTAATTTGTGACTGAAAGAGATCTCATCCTTGAGACATATATTTTGGACTTTGTTTCACTGATTATAACCTGGCTTCTTTGCTGAGTATGACACTGCTGATGCTGTCATCTTCAAGTTTCCGTTTACGTGAGACAGGATTCTGTTTAACCTGCAAAAAATGAGAAAAACTCAATTTGAAATATAAAGCTATCCCATTAAGTAAACACACCAAATGTGCTATAGGTTTTCACCAAAGTTTTAAATCAGAGAATTTACCCGCGCAGTCAAGGTGTCCTCACTAAGAACCTTTATTAACCCTTTCCAATAACCATCATATGATGCATACTCTTTGACTTATAACTTTCAAAGAGTATAAATGCCACGTCTAGTAATAGTAGCTGGGCTTCAACTTCCTCTATCCTCCATAATCCTCATGAATGGCTTCACAGATTTTGAAGGATGCCGGCGAGCAAGCATTTAATGAGGTTGATATACCATGTATATAAATGGCAAATGTATCTGCCAGTGTTGGTCATAAGGTCAGTAAAACCATCTCTACTCTCTAGAGAGTACACAGCATAAGATACTGGTAGCCCAAAGATGAAATGATCAAAAACAAAGAGCTAGAGCTCACCCATTCCTTGACAATATCCCAGATGACTGTGTGGGGGGCATTCGTCTTGATAGCTTCAGCTGTGATGTGTGAGAGTGACACTTGGTAACCGGCATTCAACAATGCTGAACGGAACTTCTTGATTGGTGGACATGGGCTGCGGATGTGGCTGAACAGCTGGCTGAACTTGTGATACAAGGGACAGTCCAAAAGCTCCTTGAAATGAAACCAGAGAGAAAGACGCAACTTCAAAATGTTGTGACTGTCAAATATCAAAGAGCTTGTGCAACCTTTAAAGGCATCTTTAAAAGCATTTTTTTGCCCTATCAGCATTATTTTCTGTAACACATTGCCATTTCTAAAACTGTTTCATGTTTTGTATGTTGGTGCAACTTCCCAAATTCATGAACGAAACAGTGATGCCATCTTAGGCAGTACTCGATGATGAGTGCAGAAAATGACAATTTTTATTTTCACTGCAGTGGGATGTTTTTGGTGCATATGTTCATTAATGTAGAGTGCAACAGTTGGCTGTTACGCACACTTTGTGGATGAGCTGAATTTTAGGTTGAGTTAATGAAGCTTGGGTCGGTTGGGGTGGAATTGGGTTGGTAGTTTTGGGTTGAAGTAGATGGGTTGAGTTTCGGGGTTGGCTCAGGTTAGGCTGAGCTTGGTTAGGTTTGGTCTGGTAGGGATTCCAGAGTTGGGTTGGGTGGAGTTAATTACATTCAGTGGAGTTGGGGTGAATTTTCTAATCACATAATATTGTACGCCAATGAATTTTACAGTTGTTTATCACTACCAACCACTGCTGTTGCACGATGTACATATGGGATAGTTAGAGTTTGCTTGATGGCACCTGTCAATACTGTAATTGCTAAATGTATTTTAATAACTATTATTACTAATCCTAACCCCCTAGGCTCCTGCACCAGAAAGCACACTGAACCTCACAAAATCCAACAGGTGCATGTACTTGTCTATGTTCTTGTACATGCAGTTTACTGTACCAAAGCTGATAAACTCCAATAGAATGAG